TTGGGCTCATTTATGGGTTCACACAGAGGGATCCCCCCCCCACAATGGCCCTTTTGTGGGGTGGGGGTCAGTGGGGAGGGGATTAAGAGGTGGGGAATAGAGGGAATCCGAATAGGAACCTCTGACCGCTTCGGCCGGGGCCGAGGCGAATTATCAAGACCCCTTATATTAAATATTGTACTTTTCAAAGACACCTTCCCAGGTACTGCCAAGATCGTGCTGAGCCCGTGGCAGAACAACACGGACAAGCGTCTCCTCATCAGCCTGGACGAAGACGTGCCTGGCTTGGCACTGGCATAGGGTTTAGGGTTTTGGGTTAGGGTTTAGGGTTTAGAGTTTAGGGTTTAGGGTTTAGAGCTTGGGTCTTGTAGGCTGTAGGGTTTCTTTAGGGTTTGGGGTGCCTAGGCGCCGACATACTCGTAGTAGAAACAGTTGATGTGGAGGCGATAGCATTTTGGGGGGTTGTGTTGACGTGCAGCTGGGCTTGCAGCAATTCAACACGGTGTCTTGAAACTATGCATCCTGCCACATCACGAGCATAGAGAAGACAAGAGCTTGATTTTCCGGTGGCTCCCATGCAGACCCTTATAATAAGGTCGTTATATGGCCTATGGTGCGCATATTTAATATGGTGATCTTCGTGCTGAGTGTGAAATTCTGTGCCCACTCCCACACTCAGAAAATGATCCGCATATGGAGTTGTTGAGAAATACCCTTATGTCAATGCTTAATGGATATAGCAACAAGACACACCTTGTTGCTCAGCTGGGGCGAGGATTTAGGTGTCTGGGTAAGATATGAATCCTGAATTCTTACCAATGGCATTCTTGAGGGTTCCCTATTGTAATTATACAATCATACATCCCAAAACCCTTATCCTAAAAGGGACCCTAATTTCGAGAATTATGCAAGGGCTTGTTCAGATTGGAGCCGCTGTCGCTTCGAAAACACCCAAAATCCCAAAGTACAGTGAATGACTCTGACCATATACATAACACTGTAGCTTAGGGCAGCTGTTGCAGCTTTCGCCCTGGCCTCTCATGGAGGTCCCTGGACTAAACTCAGAATCCATCCGACGCCGCTGGATTACGGAGTACGGCCCGGTACCTGCCACCCAGCTGCCTTTGGCAGACTTAGTGGATGATGCAACGCTCGGATCCTGTCGCCGACTGACTGCTGCTGCGACAACGCATGCCCCACTGCCCGAGGGTCAGATAGGAGAATTCTTCACCATGGATCAGTTCCACTGCTCTTTCAAGCCCTTGCTGAAGTCCTGGAGTGCACCTTCAGGCTTCTGTGGTGCCATGGCTGTGGCTGGGGTCGAGCTCTTGTTCGAAACGCTTGTCACGGGACCATTGGGAGTCGCTGGGACACCCCAGGCACCCGACTTCATGTCAGATCTTGCATCCACGCCCCTCTGCTCCCTGGACTTAATGCCACCTCGAGCTGAGTCACTGGGTTTGAGAGAAGCATACTTTGTTACTTGCTTTGGAACGGTGCCTTAAAGGAACCATCATGACAGTATGACAAGACAGGTCATAATTACTTTGTTCTCCCTGGTTGCTTCAAAGCCCAGGTCAATCATGAAGCAAATTCACAGCCGGCGGACCAGCTACATCCAAGACCATGCTGCCAGCTTTGATGCCAAAGGCGCTCGACAGAAATATTTGAGTGCATGGTATGCAAACTACGAGCTGTCTGACGTTCTCCGGGAGTACTGCGCGCAACAGCCGGCGATGGGCGTGCCAGATGACCTCCTTGACCAGATTCTCTTCTTGCGGGAAAATCAGTGGCCAGCATACGCTGATGCTGAACACGAGGAGCGGGAGCGGCTGGTTGAGGAAGAATGCTTCGGAGGCTGCAAGGTGGGGGGGTTCTTGTTCGAATTGCCACCCACCGCACTTTATGAGTCTCTCTTCAGGAATGTACCTTTAAATCCTGCGAATCATCCCACCCCAAACGCCAAACGGGACTCCAAACGGGAGGTATAGTCATGGTCCTTTTACGGTTCTTCGTTGACTGGTATAGGCACAACCTGGAAGCGCACTTTCGCCGGAGAGCTTCGAAAGTTTCTCCTGATTAGGGATTTAGTTCTCGGGTGTTGGGTTTGGGTTAGTTGAATTTTTCTAGGGTTTTAGACCAGTCTTGCATAGTACATAGTGCACTTCTCATCAACGGAATCCTGCCGTGGAAATCATGGTTTGCTGGCCAGAACGGAAGGAGTAGGAGTTTGTCGATCACCAGTCGGTAGCTGTGCATGCCACGAGATGAACAAACAAGAAGGGCCCGGCCATAGAACAATCCCCCCAGGTGACTACGGAGAGTGGGAGCGAAGGTCTTCGTTTCGATCCAAAGAATGGAGATCGCTCGGTGATTGTGGAGATTCCAAACAGAGGGCTCTTGCTGCGTGCGGATGAATGGGAGGTCCGATGTGCAGGAACGGCTGGATTTCCGAGGATTGCTTGTCTCGATGTGGGTGGCCACTTCACCTGTGCGGTGTTCTTCGAAGCACCTGCTGGCGAGGGAGGTCTCATGCCAAGTACACTACATTTCAACACCACGAAGAGCAAGTATTGCAACCGCCACATGTTACAGCTTGCTCACTTCCTCTTCGCAATGCGAGCTCCGGTCGCACCAAGCGCCGGTCAAGGACTGAGCGAAGAGTCTGCGCCCTCATCACTCACCCGTGAAGCCTTCGTCATTTACGACTCCGATTGATGCTGCAGGAAAAAGAAAGATCTCTGGTTGCCTGAAACATCTGAAATGACTCCCTAAAGTGGGGATCAGACGTTTGTGAAGGAGGGGGCGGGTTGAGGCGCTGCTGGGTCTTTGCTTTCATCGATAGCAATGCTTTGTTGCAGAGCTTACCTGGACCCTAAACACTCTACCTTTGTAAGGACCTTGCTGTGTAAAGCCGCAGCCTAAGAACCCAAAATAAAAGACCTTAGGCTTACGTCGCGGCTTAGGCTTCGACCGAAGCCCTTTTGCATTGGCCTGCAAGTAGGTAGCAGCCGGAGGAGTAGTAGTCGTCGTCGTCGTAGTAGTAGTAGTAGTATTTAGTAGCAGTAGTTATGGCACCATCCAAAATACAAGCACCCACACTGGGACCCCCAGGATGGCTACAATCCTTGGCATATCCAACCCTTAAGGGTCCATGTACCCAAATACGGCCGATGATATATATCCTGCATTATACCCATAATAAGGAATGTACCCATAATTTCCATAGTTCAGGGTCCTTAAGGTAATGGAGGATTTCTATCATCAACAGTAGTATATACTTTGGCCTTAAAGTAGATAGGTACTTTGGGGCCAAAGTATATGCCATTTTTGGGTACATGGACACCCTGAGGGCCAGGTAGCTTTTCCCTGGGGCTCCAAAAAGCCCAAAGTAGGTCCTATGTATTCATAGACTTTACCCTTAAAAACCAAAAAAACCCTAAGAGCCCTAGACCCACAAGTAGCTGGTAGTTGCATACTTGGCCCAAGGGTTGATCCTGAATCCTAAACCCTTACCCCCCACAGCTGGAGTCCGAAACCCTAAACCCTAGACCCCGAAGCCCCGTAATCTCAGACCTAAATCCGTGTACCTACATAATTATACTGCTGTAGGAGTCCCTAAACTCCTGGATCCCCTCTTTAGGGTAGGGGTTTAAGCCCAGGCTTTGGGGTTTAGGGTTTCGGGGTTCGAGTTTATAGGGGTTTGGGTTTAGGGTTGCACTGTAGTGTAGGGTAGGTAGCTCGTATACGCCCTAAATCCTTGAACTTGTAGGCGCCCAAGAGACCACATGAGAAGGATCTTGGACGGAAGGTTTCTGCGCACCCCCCGTTTAACAAGCTTAGTAGCTGAATGAGTACACTTTAAGCTTTTTGGGATTATATGATCCCTTATAGAACTGAAAGTGTACACTTTTTGTGCTTATAAACTGTGTATGTGTGTGTATATATATATGCACATACATATCATGTATGTATATATACATACACATTCCAGCTGCAGACGCTTAGGTGGGAGAGCTGTTCTACGATGTGAGCATTCAGACGGTGACGGAGACGAGCTTCATACAGAGACTGCTGCGACCTTGGTGAGGAGTTGATAGGATACGTGCGCATGAGTGCATGATTATATTAGCATGTTATACTTATTCGGTCGCAGTACTTCCTGCCGCATCATCTCAACCCCAAGGCCCGGGGATTTCCTCCGGCATCCCTTGCTTGAGCATAATCCCTAACCCTCCAGGTACCTACTATATAGGGCCCTAGGGGCTCTAGTGCCCTTTATAGTAAGTACCTGGAGGGTTAGGGAATTAGTAGCTAATTCTGATGTAGTTGCTGTGTTTTCTCGTGCCCTGTAAATTGGCTTGCTGGCCTGCCCGTGACATTCACCGCCGTCGTCGGCCCCCGCACTACCCGGATTCCCCAAGCCCAAATATGTTTATCACACGGTTGCCGCCCCCTTCCGAACTCCACAGCTAGAATAGCATCCCCAGGTTCTCACAAGCCTCCCCGACACCAAGACCCCGAATTCCGGCACCCTCTTTGTGGTTCCCTTGCTGTCTTATGACAAGATCCTAACCATTCATAAACTGGCTTATCCAGACAGACCCAGAGGCTCCTTTTAGACTACCATTATGGAATTGGGCCCCAAAAGACCATCCTTATTCAGGTTTTAGGGACCTAATTCCATAATGGTACTTTATCTGGAGCCTCTAGGAGAGGTACGGCATTCTAGGGTCGAGGTCGATCCTTAGGTAGACTCTATCGATGTCCACAAGGTGCTTGGCATTCCGGTTCCGCGCTAAACCCTTAACTCTAAGCCCTGTACTCTTATAGAGTCCCTCAAACCCAAAATGACCTAAACCCTACAGCCGCAAACTCACCCCTGCATTCCGGATGGGCCCGGCTTCTGCTGCTTTAAAACATCGGGTTGTGAACGATTTGTAATTTTGAATATTTGTTAGGGTTCATTAATCTAAGTCTTGCACATTTCCCGGAGCCCTATGCCAAATATTCAGGTGGTGGATTTGTTCTGTTCCGATGGTTATCCGTGCCTCAACTTGGGTTATCGTTCGATTTGCCAGTTGCCTGACTGAAGACAGTACTGATCCCAACTAAACTAACTAAACGCCCCTAAACCCTAAACCCTCAACCCTAAACCCTAAACCCTATGCGGACTTTGGGCGTAGGGCCCACTCACTACAATCCAGCAGCCCAGGTCCCTAACTTAACTGAAGTAGGATGTGCACATCAGTGCTTGGGTTTAGGGTTTAATTAGGGTTTAGGATTTAGGGTTAGGGTTTAGGGTTTAGAGTTTAATTGGGGTTTAGGATTTAGGGTTGGGGTCCACGACTCATGGCCACAGCCACAAATTTTCCACGCACAGCCATCCCACTGAACCACCAAGCATTCTGCTGCCTTACAATTACAAGCAACATGTTCCACATGCCCCAGGCGAGGTTTATGCTTTAGGATTCTTTAGCACGCAACTGCCCAGTCCCCCATATTCCTGGAATTGGATGATTTGGATTCTCCGGGTCCATGTACCCAAATGGCATATGCTTTGGCCCCAAAGTACCTATATAGGGACTACTTTAAGGCCAAAAGATATACTATTTGGGCGCATCGACCCCAGGGTTCCGGCTCATGAAGCAACCCTACACCCCAAAGCCTGAACCCCTAAACCCCTAAGCCCTGATTAAACCCCTAAAGCCCTAAACCCTAAAACCCTAAACCCTAAAACCCTAAACCCTAAACTCTAAAATCCTACACCCTAAACCCCGAACCCCAGGCCTTCAAGGCGAAAAGCCGTAAGTGAACTTGAAGGATTGTGGTAGGATTCCCGAGAGCTTGCAACGTCTTCACGTAGGACTCTTCGGGGCTTATAGGGTTTTTTAGGGTTAGGGGTTTAAGGCTTAAATTTAGGGTTTAGGGGTTTAGGGGTTAAGGGGCTTAGGGTTTAGGGTTTTAGGGTTTAGGGGTTAAGGGGCTTAGGGTTTAGGGGTTTAGGGGTTAGGGGGCTTAGGGTTGAGGGTTTAG